AAGTGCAAAGTGTGGAAGCCTGCTACTGCGCATTTCCAGTGATGTTTTGCAGTACTCCCTGTTAAGTCAAACGTTCCTTTCTCTCTCTGGATTTTCCTTTATATATATCTGCTAAGAGCGGTTGCAAATGGGGGACTATGAATGTTGGAAGTTAAAGTATTTATTTGTAGTGGTAAAATATCTTATATTTTATTTTATGGTGTTTCAGTGAAGTTCTTTTCTTTAAGCGAGATTTTATGCCAACTGTAATTACAGAATATTTTACATACTTTAAGGCTACCCTTTAGGATGCTGGCTGGTGAAGGAACTTTGCCATCAGTGCTCCCAGTAAGCTGAAAATCTGTCTTGTGAAAAACACAGTCAGAAGCCAAAAGCCTCATGACCCATGCAATACATTAATGAATGAGACAGTCTGCAATGCAAAGGGCACTGCAACTGCAACATTTCCCCAGCCGTGTCTTAACACTCAAAAAGATTTCCTCAAGCACTGCGTAGACATCCCAAATGAGGCAATAAAAGCGGTCAGATAGGGGGTGAGAGGGAAAAAAGTAAAAGCAAATTTCATTTCTGAGCAGCTCTGTATGTAATGTTGACAAAATACCAATTTGGCAACAACTTACCAGACTGTCTGTAAACTAAAATGCTGAAAAATCAAAGCACTGACCAGAAAATGTACTGAAATAAAGAAAGAATGTATCAGGGACTGCTTATAATAAGCAATATGTTCAGCTTTAAATTCAGAGTATTTCTCAGTTTGATGTTTTACCTCCTTTCGCTGGTTAAAGCAAAAGGAAGCAATGACAAACTCGCATCTGATTATAAAAAATCATCTCAACAGACTGACTACAACTTTGCATACATGTTCCTGTAATAGACAATCAAGGCAGGCTAATAGACAACTACTTTACTTGAGAGACATGAAAAAATTTTTCTTGTTTTCCCTTCATAATGCAGGAAAATTTAAGTATCTTCCAGTATTTCTAGGTGTTGAGTAAACAATATCTTGATGTTTTCCTAACCACTTCTGATGCAGTGTTACAAATAATTGTCCTTACTGTATCAAGTCCCGTGAAGCCACTGTTTTTCTGGGATTTTTTAGGATGGTAAACTGTACATATTATTTGACTAAACTTTGACTAAAACTTGACTTTGACTAAACTAAGACTAAAACTTTGTTTAGATGTTTCCACAATATTAGAAAATAATTTTGAATCTGTGGCATCTAGCCACATGTACACATCTGAGTACGATAACCAGTTTTTAAAAATCTGGTGATTAGTTCTGTAAAAAAAACCCCAAGTCTACTTATTTATTCTTTGCCTCCTAATACCCAGCAGATCTAATTCTCAGGGAAGGCACAAACCAGGACAGCATTTCTTGCAAACTGACAGACGTACATTCTTGACCCAGCAGTCTGCAGTCACTAGCAAAATTCTAGGTTTAAGTTACATCCCCAAACAACTTGTCACAGTTTGTAACCAGAGTAGCCACACGTAAACATATATACATTTAACTCCGCACTTAGGTCAACTCTCTTGGTCTGTTGTTACCTTTTATTGCCAACTGTTTTTACCACGTGCTACGTGAATTCAATTGTGTGTACAGCTCTCACAGACGTATCAGCAGTACCACATGGAGGCCTCATCGGAAGAAACATCTCCACACAGTTTGACAGATGCAGCACCCCAGGTAACATAGAACACCAAACAGATGCAAGTTACACCAGTTTTGGTAGCCAGAAAACTCTTAGCTGATACATTCCAAAACTTCCTGTGTGGAACGATGCTTTGTTTATTTTGAACCTGCATTCTCAATACTTTGTTGCTTTGCTTCTGTAAGAAAAACAGTAAATAACAATGCACTATTCTCTGTCTGACTGATGGAGTCCGCTACATACTCATCCTCAGTTTTCTCCCAAAGACTGAAGAGCTAATTCCATTCTGCAGACTTGCTCCGTATGGAAGATACTCACACTTGGGAGAATGCTGTTGCCTCTCTACATTGAAGAGGCTTTTGAAGGACTACCTGGATCACCTCGTTCTGACTGACTCTCCTGAAGAACACGAGTGAGTTATGTGAGATATTTCTTATATTGCCAAGCTGATTCCTTTTATATCATCCTGCGTACAGCAGGATGAGACCTCTTGGGGAGGAATGAAAAACAAATAATCAACCAAACAATCTGACATCACATTTGTCCCCTTCTGTTACTCAAGTGGATAAATGGTTTTAAGCAAACTTGTCAGACTACAGGAAATACTTCTGTAACTTCTCATTTGAATTCCTTTAGGACTCTTTCAAGATTACTGTCTAGGTTTTGTACTTTCTGTAATGAACTTTTCCAAGAAGTTTTCACTCATATTTTCTGTGCAGAAAGGCTTCAATATATGGACATTCCTGTGATCATTATGACAAGTATGAATGTGAAGAATCCTTATTTTAGACTATATTGAAATCTACATTGCAATGCAATTTCAAAATAATTTACCTTTATTGTTGTGCTAAGCTACTGTAGGCCCATTTATTTCAGAAACCTTCTGAAGTTGTAGACAAAGGTTATTCGATTTTCCATTTCATAAACTAACTTAACAGTCTGATTTGTTTTAAATTATCCATCAAATGGCATAGTTAAGGAATACACTTCTAGAACACTGAAAACGTGCTCCCAGACAGTCCTTAGGTTCCTCTATAACACCAGAACTTTAAGAGTTGCAAGGCCTTTGTTTTATTAAGAATTGCTTGTTGAAATGACAAATGCTTATCTTCAAAATTGGTATACTACAAAAACTTTGAAATGTCTTTCCCCATCCCCAGCAGAACTATCCAAAATATATCAAAGCACGGCAGGTATGTGCTCACATTTTGCAGGGAGTATAATACGGTGAACAGTATATTAGATATTTTTATGTGTAACCAGCAACAGGATGGGGAGCTCTTACTTGAAGCACTTTATTTCAGCTTAAGTTAGAGAAGGACTTTGAAGATTCATGTAGTTCCAAGCACTTCCAAGATGGCTAAACAAGGTTGTGTGTGGTTTGTTTCTTCTTTTTTTTTTTTTTTTTTTTTTTTTCCCAACTGTGGCTCATCACAGAATTGACATAAACTTAACAGAACAGATTTCCTTGAAAGAAACTTGGAGAAAAAGGTGACAGAAGAGTAACATAAATCCCATGCATCAAAATTTTCACATGGTCAAGAGGTGTAAAACAGAAAATATGTACCACGTACCTTGCAGATCTGACATCTGTGTAAGGCTTCTCTAAAGTACTGGTATTAATTGCCTTGTGATTCTTTGAAATTTAGTTCATTGTTTTTGCATCAGATCATCAGATACCTCAAATATCTGTAAATCCCACACGTAAATAATGTGTTTTATTTGTTTCAAAATTCTTTTTCTTCCATGAGGAACTTCCAGAAGTTTGAAACATTATAGCCAGGAAGAACTTGATGATGAATACCTACCTCCAAGATTAAGACCTATCTCCAATCTTATGCAGTGTTTACATTAAGAGACCCAAAAAGCCCCACAGATTTCTGCTGTTGAATAGCTAGAGGTTGAGGATACTCAAAAACCTAATTACAGTAGTTAATTATTGCATCTTTTGTTTTGATATATTCTAGATTTGTGGCAAATTTTACCTGTCAGTCACTTCTAAAGCCAGCCAAGTACGACTTTTGTACAATTTCCGTTTAAGCCTAGTGCTGCCACAATTGATAAGTTAGAGAAGAGGTAATGAGGTTTAATAATTGATAGGGTTTTTTGATCTCTAAAATATATTCCTATCGCCAGTAATATTCTGACTTCTGCAAGCTCCTGAAGTTCATTTCACTTCTAGGGTTTGAAGACTATGGTAGGAATAATCAATAGCACCAGTGTCAGCATGCTCATTATCAAGAAGCCCTACACCCTACAGCAGAAAACCATCCAAGTCCTAAGAAAGAGGAAGGACAAAAAGAAGTTCTTGGCCCAAACCTCACTAAACAACTTCAAAGTAGAGTGCCTGTTAGAGAACCATATATTTTATATATATATTTGTTACAATTTAGTTTTATTTATGCATATATAAAAAAAGCAAGAATTTCCTTCCTCTAGCCCCTTAAGAAAAAAATGAAATTCGAAATTTGATGTAAAGAATGCTCTTTTGAATAATCCTATTAGTTGGCAAACAAAGAAACTGCTCTATGTGAAACTAGCTCTAGTTATGAACTGCATAAATCAACATACATCACCTACATATACTAGGTTTACAATAATCATGTTAAGTATTTCCTGTTTATCAGTCTTTACGTTGGACTACATAATTTCAAAAACCAAGCTGTGCATTGGCTGCTTTGGATACCCAAGCACTTTCTGATTTTGATAACTATAATAAGTTCAAAGACCATTTAAGTAAAATTTTCCTGATCTTCACTATCAAAATGCAAAAAGAAAAAGAAAAAACAACAACAAAAAAAAACAATGACCCTTATGGCTTTTCTTTCTCCTGTTTCCTTAATAAGAGCAGCATATTTACCTTAGCTAAAATACAGAAAGATATCAGTTTGGTGTGGAGCTTCCAGAGGAATTTAGGCTCTGCTGCATAATGCAGCTTTCAAAAAAGATGAAGTGGAGTAACAGCTACATCACCCTGCTAGCTGATTACACTGAAACTGCTTATAAACACCAGTTTAAACAAATGTTAGCAGGCATATAGGGCAGCTGGTTAAAACTGAAACATTTGAACAACATACAGTAGTTTCATGCCTTCTTTTTGCTAAAATTCAGTGGATTGCACTTACACTATTCATGAGCTCTGTGAAGAGAAATGTTTCGACACTTTCTTTTATGAGAATTGGTTGAGATAAAATTTTAAATTGCCTATCAAAAGACATATCCCTCCCCCAATTCATAATAAATTTCTACAATCTTACACTGATATCTCAATTTAAATACAATTTAAAAGAAAAATAAATAAATCAAAAGCCACAGGTATGTAAGACAAAGTATTCAAAACATGATATTGTACGTTATTACAATGCTTTATTGTCTTGTAACACAGATTGAGTTTAGGCTATATATTCAATACTAAGGCTGAGATGCTATCATTACATCTCTTGTTAGGCAACAGGAAACTTAAATGCAGATAAACATGTAACTAGCAATAAAAAACATAGAGGAATAATTACATAATATGCATATGGTGATGTTGCGTGAGGCATCTCGACACTCTTTGAGACTTAATCTGTGAATATTTAACTGGTTTTGTTTCATGATGGAAAGCACCACAGAGAAATAATTAGAATCTCAGTCTTCGACTAAGTCTCCTGCACATCTAAGTCAAAAATGGTGGTTTCTTTTGATGTTCAATTCTGTTATTCAGGAATAATGACAATATTAATTTGAGCAAGAAGGAGCTTATACAACATACATTTACAGAGAACCATTTAAATTATGTTCAAATGTTAAATTCTGCATCTCATATCATACTCTGCTATTCAATTGATAAATTTGTATTACGTATGAGAAAAAAAAACACATTTCTATTGAGAGATTTTGTATATGCTGAAAATTTAAATAAGATACTGAATATAAAATTACTGTGAAAGATAAACTACAACCTTTCTTTAAAGTTGCAGCTGATTGCAAGCATTCCTTTTGATAGATTCCTAATGCAGCAATTTTTTACAAGTATGAACACCCCAAATCTCCTCTATATATAGGGAAGTTTGTAACAGGTTCAATTGGAGACATCAAAAACATTTTAAATAGACATCACAAGATGCATTTGTAGTTTAAAGGTCAAATTTATTAGGAGATTAAGAGATGTATTATACGTGGACTATAAATACAGCACAGCTGACTTTATTCACAGTCAGAGACAGCCAATGCCAACTTATTTTGTAGACACCCTTGTTCTTTTGTTCCAGGAAAAGTTTGCACCGTAAGACTTGGATTTAGGTTTTGGAGTCTTCTTTTCTTCCACGTCATAGCTCCAGCCTAGCAGTTGTGGGGGAAATGGTTGGGGGAGATGAAAAGAAAAAAAAAAGAAAAAAAAAGAAAAAAGAATTTTAAATATTCACTGCATACGATATAGAGCAAATGCATCTTAAATCTTTTAACTTTAGTATTTTTTTCTCCAGATAGGAATCCACTGTGTTCCTCCTTTGCAGCTGGCAGCAGAGAATACAGAAATGCCATGCACTTGATGCATGCCTGTTCTCACAATTGAGAGACTTTGCATACCTCAACTTTCAGTACCCCTTTAGAAAACTTGACAGTCATCAGCAAAAAAGCTCAATAGGGAACACTGACCATTTCTGTATACAGTTCTGCAAGTTCACAGCATTGCAACTCCAGAGCATCACACAGGTACTAAGGCTCTGTGGGATAAAAAATGAAAAAAGCTAGAAAAGAAAGGTAAGGTCAAGGAAAAGGCAGCACAGAGAAGTCCAGTCCTAAAAGTTTGGGAAAGAATCAAGATTTTGGAAAGACTAAGAAAAAGGAAAGGTGGAAGGACCAAGATAAGGAAAAGCAAAGAATAGAGTTCAACATCAGAAGGGAGTATAATGCTAAAATTTTTATAAGAACATAAAAAAAGAGAAGGGAATGAAGTGATAGAAGACAAGTAAATTATGTGATAGTTAAGCAAGAGAAATGCTAAAAAGTGTCAGAAAAGAGGAGGTGGAGACATCAGTGTTTATGTAAATCAAAATGCAAATCAATTGCAGCCTCCAGGTGCCTGGAAAGTTGCCAGGACAGCACTCAGTATTCCAAAGTTTGGTCTCTTCAGCTGCAACATTTCACTCAAAGCTGAAATACTTGAGTGGAAGCTAGAAATGGTAAAAGTGTAGTTATAACTGATATTGATACAATCATGTATTTCTTCTTTTGCTTTAAAATGAAGTGTCATTAAGTCTGAGAAGGTTTAACATATACCTGAATTTTTACATTTGTTATTCACAGAGAATACTCAATGTACACATGAAGACACCAAAACATTTTTAAGACACAGGTCATCCTGTCAATGAGTCTCAATTATCCACCAATAACACAGAAAGGTTACCTCTGATTACAAGGTTGAAACAATATTGATTTTTCTACAAGAAACCCTGGAACACAAGGTGAGGTTTTGAAAACATATTCTTTCCATCTATGAAAGCACTGATTTTTGCCTACTGTTCTGATTAACAATATAAGCTTGAGCAAACAGCCAGAACTACAGCCAGAGACAGACTATGGTATCACAACATTCAGCATTATAACATCTTTGAGGCACTCAGCTGCTGGAATGGAATCTACAGCCCCAGCTTATTACTTCATCATTTTATACTCTAGATAAAGAGGTGCTGAGTGCCTCTAAGAGATTTGCAACTGCCTGCACAATTACTTGGGCTGCTATAGCTATCAAAAATCCACAATTAGTTACATCTAACTTAGGACTGCAAGAGGCTGCCATATGTGATAAGACTTCACACTCTAGAACAGGCTTCCTCAGTTAGGCACCTTCAGTTTTTCGAAACAAAAGCTGAGCTCACTATCATAAAAGTACCACAGTGGTGGGGGAGATAATTCTTGCCTAGAACTCTGTCATACAAGCTAAAGGGACAGAAAGCAGACTGTACATTCTCTGGAATAACATTTGGATCAGATGACTAAAGGCTACTCTAGGTATAGAAATCTCTCCATCCTTGTTACAAAAGCTTTATGTTTTTCAACAGTGATGTCAAATTGAACAAAAAAGAATTTATGTCTACAGTCTAAACTTTTAATTTCATCCAGTTACAAGTATCTCCTCCTTGTTTCAATTTCAGACCATTCTCAGCAGTCACACTATGGACAGATCTCTCCTGCTATTGACTGTATTCACAGTGCTCTTTTTCCAGCTACAGAAGATGCTTCAGGAGACAGGTGAAAAGATAGCTCACCTGAAGTTCCAAAGTTCTTAGGTGAGAACTGAATTAAAACTGAATCCTACTTTTATCAGAATACCTGCAGTATCTAGAACTTGTGGAAGATAAACTTGAGGTTTTAAAGGATTTTGTTATGTAGAACTTGGGTAGTTCTCACTGTGTTCCTCTAGGTTTACAGGTTTCAATTATATCTCGGCACAGAAGCCAGGTGTCTACAGTCCTCGTTTCTTTCTAAAAGCACATTTAAATTTTTTAAAATTCCTATTTCCAGCTGCATCTGATATTGAATCTATAACTTACAGAGCAATAGAAACACTAAATATACCAGATTTTAACAAGTCAAAAAAAAAGAATCAAACAGTTCAGCTTTTTAACTGCAAAAGTTAATCAATCTTTTCTATATTTATATCTGCACAGCAGAATCACCTAGCAACTCTATTCAATTTGGCCTGATCAAGAAATGTTTCTCTCTAATTAATCTGGACCACATACTGATGAAAGCTGTAGAATGCTGAAAAACCTTATCCTCCATGTATATTATTCCTGGCTTTAACTCAGTTATACCAGTTCCATATATCCATGAGAACTAAACAGCAAGCTGAATCTATCATGTCTCATATATATAATACGCACCATTTTTTTCAGCAAAGGCAATGGCATCTTCTTTAGTAGAGAAAGTAAGAACCATGTTGGATAAAGGATCAGCTCTGTAAGAAATTAGATGACAGTTTTTAACAACACTTAAAATATAAAATAATTATACCTGCATCTCATGTGCCAGCCAAAACCTATACTGCACAATATTTTGTAGTGCACAATTTCAAAAACAGACTAAATTTTAGCCATTCAAAATTCCTACATTTTTATTAGTTCTAGGATTAACTATTACATTGTGTACAGTATCATTTTTGTCTTTTAGTTTGCTGAAATTCCTCCACAACTTAACGAAAAAATTAATTTTTGTAAGTTTTTTAATTAACAAACTTGTCTAACTACTTACTGAGGTTGAAATAAATGCCTTTCAACAATCTTATTTTGATTTTGAAAGCTGTGCAGTCCCTCTCTTTGAAAGAACAGGAGGCTTAAAGAAATTTAAAACAATTTAAGGAGGGAAGACGTCTGTTGAGTAGTTATTGGGACAATAATCGTATGCAGAATATCAAAGTGAGCAGAGAAGGAGTTAATGAGATATTGGAGAGGATGTGAACAAGTTGAGATTTTTTTTGAAGTCATGTGACCTCCAAAAGCCACTCCAGTACAGCAATAAGATGTTAAGCCATCACTGAAAACAAAGTTCAGAAACTCAAACTGCTAGCTCACCACTTACACAGTGGTTATTTTTTGATGATCAGCTATTCTCAATTACGTTTGAAAGAAAGTAAAAAAGGAAAATGCTCTTTGAAATGAATTAAAATCTGGGTAAAAACCAATACTTTTATTTTTCTTTAAAAGCTTAATTTAAAAGCAATGACAAAAGGTGAAGCAGTAGGCGTCTAAAAATTAATCTCCAGGACTTTCATAGATACAAGAAATGGGCTGCAGGAGCACAAGGATTACATAATGCTTCCCTGAGACAGCATGTTAGCCTGGGAGACAAATGCAAGACAAGACCAAATTGCAATCTACTATTGACCGAGCTGTCTCTGACTGTTCTCTTTGAAGCTATAATGGTAAATGAAGAGAAAAAGCAACCAAAGATACATTGAACTCTATACAATAAAGGACAAAGACTGTGACTGGCAGAGGGGGAGGGGAAGACAGGAATCTAGCTTCCAGCAAAGACAACAATGTAATTTTATCTGATGTATGTATAAATCCAATATATTCCCCAGGAAAAAAAACCCACATTGGATAAAAGCAAACATTATACTTCAACATACCACTATCGTGAGTTTTTCTAAAAATATGTAAGTATTTATCTTATAAAAGCAGTACAGAGAATAGGGACTATGAATTAGCTCATAGCGTGACCAAAGGACAATCAAGCAACCCAATATATCGCAGTATTTGGACTGCTAATGCCTACTGTTCATCTCTTCTGTGATTAGATTCTGAGATTGGAAAAATCTAGTCAGTGCTACTAAGTGGTAAAAGAAGAAATTTAAGTTTGGTGTGTAATGGGGAACTTGTACCTGTTCAGTGCACATTTAGTGAAAACCTTCCCAAACAGAAGCAATTTGGAAATAAAGAAATGAAGAAATCATGTGTTCTCTTTTCCTTTATGTTCATTCTTCATCCAATTTAAACACAGCTTTCTAATTTCTTTCTCTGAATGAGCTATCCATGTATTTAAATTTGTGATAATTTGTGAGCAAATAGCAGAGTTCAGAAATGCCAACATGATATCCTGACAGTAGTAACAGTGCTGCAGGATTTCCTGTGCTCTAGGCTGTCTATCAGTGACTGCAAATAGGAATTCCACATTTTATTCTTTTTATACGATCCTATGCAATAGAAACCATATGACTTCTGTGTTTCTTAGCTTATGTTAGGATGTACTCAAGAACAATTAATTAACTTTCCTGTAATGAAGGCTACCAATTAAAACAAAATGACACGGATCTATTTTATTTAGATCTATAACTGTGTTACTTGTACTAAAAAAAAAAAAACACAAAAAACAAAAAACCTACAAAGAGATAATAATAATAAATAAATATTAGGAAAGAAAATTATGATTGTAAAATGGCATAAACATAGCAAAGACCTACAGGTAAATAAGTATATTGAGTTCAGAGCAAAAAGGGCTCTTCACTAATTGCCTTACATTATTCAAAATTAAATGGTAAAATTGTTCTCTGGAGAACAACTTCTGCAGAAATTTAATCTGAAGAAACTTCTGTTAGTTTTTTCTGGGGGTTGAACAGTGACTTGAAATTGCCAGGATGTCCACTAATATTTCTTGAGAGTTCTTTAAAGAATGAAAGAAAATAGTTTACAAAACCCTTGACCTAGAGATGTCAATTCACAACACAGCCCTTACTTTTGGCTGATCTGCAGCTTGTTTATGCTTGTTATGCAAGAAATATTCCTTCCCTTACTGCAAAATAAAAATGCACTCAGGGATGGATGAATTCAGAATAGCCATTCCATTTTATATACCTATGCTAAAAGCACTTCAGGACAATTTAGCATTGAGGTAAACCCTTAATAATATGGAACATTTTTCTAGGTTGTTAGAAAATTTAAAAGACATTATTTTGGCTGAGAATGTGTAGAATCCCACCCAGAAAATAAGCTGTCTGGATAGGACACATTCCCAGCAAAGGGGAATTAGAAGAAAAGTTAAATTAAACCTGAACTATAAAGCTGGTGTTACTGGCACCTGTTACAGAACTGTAATGTGTCCAGGGGTATAAATAAACCATATGGTAGTGGCCAGACACTTTGTGGGGAACATAAGAAAGGTGGGAAAGGTGTATTACTGATCAACAGTCTATTACCTAATTTAGGCCAGTGTGAAACAACTCAATTGTGGCTTGCTAAATATAGTGGCTACTTGCAGCAGTGAAATCATACCAGCCAAAAGTGTGTTAGATTATTTTAATTCCAATATTTTAGTATTTTTCCTCATCTAATGATATACTATCTCAGCTTTCCTAATTTCTTTGCAATGCTAATACAACCAAGACATTACAGGCTGCAAGTATCATAAACTTGATTTCACAGTTATTTTGAAAATCAAACTATGATAAATTTACAATATTAATATATCTTTGGGGGGAAAAAAAATCCCTAAATATTTCATATTTAAAGATTCAGATTTAGTTTCATCAGCAGTTTGTGTTGTTTAATCATATGTACCTGTATGATTGTAGCCAGAAATTTCCAGAACACAGTATGCTTTCTGAAGTCTGAAGATTAATTTCTATTGATATTTGCTTACAGAGAATAATTAACTTTTCTGAACAATCTAACAAAATGGCTTCCAATCAAAATTATAATATTATTGGAAGAATTTAAAGGAATTCTAACCGCGCTGTAAGATGTAGGATGTATATTTATTTAGAAAAAAAAATTAGCTGCATCAAAGTTACATCTCTAAATTTTTGCACAGTTACCATGAAGTTACTACTTCTATGGATTTTGGCATATTTAAGGTATTTACCAGTCATAATAGCAATGCTGAAAAAAATGGATGTTTTAAACAGTTTGCTTGTTAAAAATTGACTGTAGCTCCTCACTGCAGATTTTTAGGATTTTTATAAAACTTCGTAAAAAAAAAATCCCAAATGCTAGATATCATTATTTTATGTATAACCAAATTTAATATATGGAACCGACAGCTAAGAAAGATTTATTGCTTCAGGTATCTAATAACCTTCCGTCCCCAGCGCTGTTATACAGCAACATTACCTACAAATACAGTAGTTGAAATTTCTGGGTAATATTTTTCAAACTCTTTAATTAGATTTGTAAACTAAAATCTGTATTTACATGATCATTAATCATATGATGAACAAACCTGACTATTTACTTGATACAAGTGCTGTTATGTAGTTTTACAAATAGACAATTTCAAAATTTACATGACTGGTAGAAGTCAAATATAGAAGAAAAGTAAATTCAATAACTACTCACGTAGATGCCCAACCCATCAGAGGGTTCTCCCAGCGCTCCCTGTTATCAAATTCCATCTTCCACTTCTTTGTATTGTTAACTCCTGCCTGCATCGCATTACGTGCCGGAACAAAAATGTGAACTCTTCTGGTTTTGATGTGCTCATCTGGAACACCAGTTAAAGTAGAGATATCCTATGAAAAATACAGTGGAATTTGTTAAGAAGGGTTTACATGAAAGGTATGTAAACTAATACTGCTTCTGCTTTTTACACAATGTCATGCTTGAATTTTTTTTACAATCACAATATAAGAGTTTTGCAGAAATGCATGTTATGTGTCCAGTTTTATAACGCTGAAGCAGTTTCATAACTGGGGCTGCTGTCATCCTGCTTCCCCTGGCTCAACAAGATTTCACATGGATCAGCCACCTGAACCTGCTCATCTCCCACCTATACAACTGCCAGAGCCAGAGGAGGAGCAGGACATCCCCTCCAACTGCAGCTGTGAAGCCAGGACTGATCCTGTTTGCACCAGCTAAAGCTACCATGGAATTGTACCATAAACTCTTTTTTTTACCCTTAAAAGGAAAATTATAGCATACATGGAAGCATGGACAAATCTCAGAGTTCTACATTAACATCAGGAGCCTGAACCAAATATGAGCAGGTCTTCCCACCAAGATCCTCGTCAGCCATTTGGGAGCTACACTGTAAATGCTTTCACTTGTGCTTAAGGCTGCAGATAATTAACAAACATCTAAACTGAACCATAAAGCAATGCTTAGCATGAAGGAAGAGGCACAACTTATCTGTTCTGCAATAATCCAACAACTGACATGGCAGAGCAGGTACTAGAAGTCAACTCTCTTGTTTCTTTAACCATTAGTTATTACATTAAATTGACCCCTCTTCTTTAAGCAGTAAGGCCAACTGTGTCACAGGCTGTGAGCACCTGTTTTTGAGATTTGCTTCTTCTCAAGACTACTAGTTGATATTTAAGTGCAGAACAAAATTTCATGTCAACTCCTCAGCTGACTTCACTAACTCTCTCTCAAATTGCAGGTCTCATCACCCCCACCCCCCACTGCATTCAAATTCAAGATACACAGATTACTGCAGGCTACCTAATTTGGTACCATTAGATCCTCACCAACAGCAGGGGCTCTAATGCCCGTGGCTCAACAACCTGTGTCAGTCTGAGTACACATTTCTTGAACAGGTATTGTACACTAATTAGTCATTTTCGATAGGGAAGTTTTTCCATGATTTTGCACCATTTGCCACTGGTAACATTCTTTGTTTTGGTATTCTTCCGAAGACAAAAGGATTTAGAAGATTCCAGCCTTCCAAACAAAAGCCATGTTTAATAAAGGCAGAAGTAGTTTGCCCTCCCTTCTGAAGGTTTAGCTTCTGAGCAATCTACAAATAAACATAATGAAGATAAAAACTAAAGGACCACAAAAAGCAGCCTAAATGAATTAGCTGTCTTTAATAAAATAGGGAAAAATCTCACATGAACTGCTATGAAAAATTACTCTCAACAGCATCTGATATAATTAAAGTGAACTTTCTCTTTAAAAACTAAACAGTAATTACATAAAATTAACCTGTCAGTTCACCCTCATACAGTAGAGTGTGAAATCAAACATCAAATCCATCTCTAAGGATGTTAAACTACTCCTGTTCCTTACATACTTGAGAGGCCAGTGGGAGCTCCTTGGCCTCCCTCTCTCCCATCCTCACTCCAGAAACAAGTAGTAAAGTAGTTAGTCCAAAAAAAACCCTAACAGAAAGTTGGGCATATTGAACTCATCTCACCAGCAGTGGCATGACTCGCATGAAAAGGCAAACAAGTTTAAAGGAAACACTGTGGCTTTACATGTCTGTAGCTACTTAATTTATGGGATTTTGAATTGTGGCAAACTTAAAAGCCCTCGGTGCTGACTCCACACCATCTTTTGAAATGAGGCAAGTCTCATATTTTTGTGTTCTTCAGAAAATAGACTCTGGGAGATCAATCCCTCGAAACTACAGCAGGGAGCACGTCTGAAGCATTTCATTTGTATTTGCAATTAGAAAAGAAGGCAAAACAAACAAATGCACACACAAATTTTTCACACTCTGAATGTTCTACACAGACTACCAAAAGGCAGCTGTCCAAATATCTTACCAATTCCATTACAAATGCTTTCAGTAGGATCAAATAATGTTTATTTTTAATAAGAGTCTATGAAAGACTCCCACTTAGGAAAATGTTGCAACGCACACAGATCACCTCCCTCCTGACAGACAGAATAGCATTTCTGACTGCTGGAGCTTGAACCACTGTTTCAGGAGGAAATCGCTTCAACTTTTCTTATTTGAATTCACAAACTGCTTTGATTAATTAATTAATTATTTTTTTAAATGCACTAAAATGCAGTAAAAGTATTTTTTATAGCCTGGATTGCTGTATTACTCTTGAAGTATGTATTTTAACTAACATGTCTCAGTTGAAAACATTTTGCATTATTCTCCAGTAATTTTATTTCCCCTTTGAAATAACCTGGACTTTGCTATGTACAAACCTGTTTGCTTCTTATCACCAAATACATCCAAATTTGCACATTTTTTCCTATCATAATTCTCAGCAACTTCTATGTCTATTATGAATTTTATGCTTCAGATTTGGAGGTCTTTTACTTGCTCTAGAATTCTCTGGGATTAAAATAAAACAATGTATAAACCAGTATTATGGCTGCATTTCAGTTTGGTTTTTGAAGCCTTCATGCTAGAAACTATAAGAACAACTATATATTAATCCCTAGAAGTCATGTTTTTTGGGACTTGTGTGGCTCCAAATCAATTATTTTACCAACAATATAGGATTCATCCCATAACAATTATTTTGAAGGTGAAAACTAAACCTGCTTACTTTCAGAAACTAGAAAATCTACATAGTGTTGCTAGCTCTTCACACTTTGATTCATTATAGCTGAAGTTTCCATGCCTTCTGGGAATCTAGCAATTGTTTATTGATATCTTCCCCATATTAAAGCTGGCAATTGAACAGACAGTTGTTAGGACAATGAGTTTCTGGTTTCTGAAGCCCAAGTTGTCCTGACATAAAATCACTGTTTTTGCTTGCTGTAGACATGTAAGGTACTGTAGCATAGCTGAGCTGTTGCCAAAGATATGGAATAAAAAGGCTTGGCATCTATCACATACTTGACACCTAAAGAGCACAGAAGCTCTAAAATTCCTATTCCCTGTAGGCGCACTCTTAGTCTAGACAAACTGATTTCTCACACTTTTAAAATGCATTACAACACTCTATTGTGATCATTTCATCCACACAGCTCCAACTAGTGACAGAAGAACCTGTCCTTTAAGCGACATTTCAATGGGCTAAAGCTCCCGCTCCAAGATTCCATTAAAACAATATAATACTTGAAAAGAACTGTGCTGCACTGGGTTGAACTCTCTACTGTGTCTTCAGAGCTTTGTTCTGAGTTCAAGTTCTCATTGAAACTACCTGTGAACCAACTTTCCAAAACAAAGATGTTTTTGACAGCTAGTTTCACACTACTATCTTTTTTTTTCAGTGTTCCTTTCTGAATTTTGCTCTATTAGCATATTAAAATATTAGTGAGGTGTTCAGCATTACAAATTCTAAATAATAAGGTGACAACATAAAAGATGAGATTTGAACTGTATAGCTTTACTTTTACTAAAAATTAACAACCCCATTTCACATTTTTAACGTGGGCTATCATCTAAAAGACTCTTTATGACCATTTTGGGTTTGATAATGTAGATTTTTTTTTGTTTGTTTGTTTTTAATAGTAACCTCTTAACATCCATTTATAACACTTTTTTTAAGCAGAACAAATTCCATCCAGCATCCAACTGCCTACAAATCATGAGGACTTTGTGCCTGTATTAAAACTTACGCTTTTAAAAAATATGATGGAAGACTGGTAAATCTACTCTAGAAGGAGTAATAAGAAATGGTGGAAGTGTGATAAAGGAGGAAGAAAAATGGGTACACAGGCACAGCATCAATGAAAACAAGATTCAGCATAAATGTGACATTCAAAGGAAAGAAATTACGTCTTCAAGTAAGTTCCACACTCACAACACCAGGACCAAAAAAAATAAAAGAAACTGAACTCCGTAGTTCAACGTAAAGAGATAAAACGACTGAAAATATCTCTGAAATGTTTTTGAATGGGTGAGTCAGGTGTGCAGAAAGGTGTCATATTTCAACTCTGACATTTCTCTACGCATAGGCAAAAAGTGTACATAACTGCTACCAACTATCTACTGTTTAGCATCCTCTTTTTTTTTTTTTTTTTTTTTTTTTTAATAAAGGAAACAGGGAACAAGCAATGGGAAGTTGATGTCAAAACACAGAAAAACCTCCCAGCAAGCTTCCCGCAACCACCCAGAATTTAGAGTCTTGCTAGGCGCTCTCTTTTCAATACCAGAATTTCACACATTTCAATGACCATTATGACTTCAAAGAATCAAATTTTCATCATTGTCCGTCATCTGCCGGTTGATTTGTATAAAGGAGTTCTTCTGCATGCACTCCAGACAAAAGGCTCCTTACTTTCGTGGCTATATATCAAATTTAAAAGTTCTGTTTGTGACAGTTGTGTCTGTGGTAAATTAGGGTAACACTGAAGGAGTGCAGCTGCTCTGCAGGAACCTCCTTTTTGGCATCATTTCACTTAAATAAAAACTGAATAATTAGCTTCTGCCTTTATTAAACCACAAAAATGCCACTGGCCTTAGTAATTACTTCCGGTTGCCCCACCTACTTAACCTCAGGAGTTTACACTTGTTAGAAAAGAGGGAAAGGAGAAGTTTTCTGTACTTTATGGGAGTCCACAGCAGCTTGCTCACTTTCCCATCCTCACTCTGTTTTACAGCCTCAGTGCATGAAGCTTGACTGTGGATTTTTGTTGCAATATAGTTTCTGTAGGAGCTGTGATATGAAAGCACAGACTGGCTTGCATAAAAGCCACCAAATAGCTGCCATGAAAGATGGTTTTTACTTACTGGGTTCACCTGCTTCAACTGGAAGTCAGGATGACAGCATATTTCTGCACTCCGCTACAGTATTTTTGAAGTAAGTGTAAGAGTAAAAAGTCTACTATGGAAATTGTGAATGGAAAAATGGAGCAGAATGAACTCAACATGGTCAGA